AGACCCAAAAAAATAGGCCCTCCTTTGCAAAGCATTCAGCGATTCATGCTCGTGTCTCGGGCATGCTTGCATTCTAAGTGCTTTAGGTGGGAGTAGGGGTTCAGGCTGCATTCAGTGACCTGTATGAAGCACAACGGTTTAACAATGCTTGCGGCTTGTGCATGCTTGGCTCAAATGACACTGGCGGCCGACGAGAAGAGTTTGGCTTCTGTACCGCAAAAGAAGTCTGCTTGAGAGATGACCTCAGACCTCCTGGCGCACTTTGATTTTTCACTCTAAGCCGGGCCATGGCCTCTGCACGAACGTGTGGCAAGTTGGACGAGAGGAGCTTCCACTGATGGCTCCCCTGCAGCGCCGAGCTCAGCGCGGCGTGCGTGATCATGTCAGGGAGCTGCTGATTTGCCCTGAGCTCCGCGAAGAGCTGAAGAGCTTCCGACCACCGAACTCTCATCGCCGAGCCCATCACAGCGTTGAAGCTCGAAACTGTCTGAGTGGCCTTCATCCGAAGCTGCATCAACAACCGCAGCCCGTAGGTCCAACTGCTGCCCTGCTCGCAGCTGGTTATTGCGGCCTCGTACCTCTCTGAATCTTGACTTGGGAACTGAGCATTGACTTGGGAACTGAACAACTTACACCCTGATAAGCTACACCGACACTCCGGCTGCTGCCAGGACACGTGGTGGAGTCAGCTTGGAGACGGGTCGAGTAGGTCACTTGCAGGAGCTGCAGAGACAACGGCCACTTTGTCAGCTTCTCACTTGCAGAGATGCAGGTGTTGAGAGAAATCACATCCAGCTCCACGTGAACCTCCCTCGCTTGACGGAGCAGTCTTGGCAGCAATTTCTGCTCTCCAGCATCGCAGCATGCCACCATGGCACCGTTGTACAGCGCAGCCAGGGGCTGCCCTGGATATCGAAGACATGCGTCCAGGGCACACACCAAGCACCACTGCCACTGCAGGTGGCTCCGGCAAGTACCGACAGCGATTCCGTGAGTGAGCGTGTCAGGTCTGAGTCTCATCTGAAACATTCGGGAGACATGTGACAAAGATAGGGCCCACCCATCAACGGATGTCGCATACGACTCCAACAGCGCAGTATGTGCTTTCGACGATGCAGTCCTGCCGCCCCAAGCAAGAAGCAGCATTGCCCTTGTCCAAAGAGATTGCAGGCACCAGCTGCGCACAGCGAGCACTGCCTCTGACTCCGTGTCCATGCAAGAGCTTTTGGCAGCTGTTTGTGCTGCTCGTACCTGACCTATTTGCAATCCAAGCCGCCAGCCATCGGTCTGCAAAAGATCCTGCTGTATCGATCGGGACAACACAGGATCCTGTGCTTCGTTGCTGCACCTGCAGATGAAAGCTGTGAAAGATATGCGCTAGCGAGCCCTTTGACACGAGTGAAATCTGACAGTAAACCTCCCAGTGCATCACCCCTCATGTGCCCAGATGTACTCATTTAGGCAGGATTGTCGGGACGTGCTGGCAATTTCATCGTACTGCGGAGCTTCGGAGGGAACAAAGCCAGAAATGAGGGCCGGTGCATGCGAGGACTGCCAACCCGTCAAACCGTCCACTGCAACGCCAGGATGTGAACAAGCAAACCTTAAAGTGTAGTGCACACAGTTTGACTGCCTTCTGTGCTCGCCCCCTTTCTGTAAGGACACCTTCACCAGAAAACCCTGAGCTGTATTACAAGCTGCTTAACTGCAGAGGCTGCAGTAGAAAGAAAAACACAAAACTCGAGATTAATTGGCAAGCGATGAACGAACTCGAGTGAATCCGAGTAACATCTGCAAAGCCGCGCACATGGCTGTGCCCTGCTTCCATTGGAGGCTCTGGGCCAGAGTGAAAACGCAACTGCCCAGAAACACGTTCAGGTTGCCAGAGTCTTGTCCCCTGGATTTGAGTCCTCGAACGCTTGTGAATCCGGATTGCTGATACTTTGCAACAAGCAACAAAGGCAGCTCCCATGATGGAGAAGACCTTGCACCGCGGGATTGGCCTAATTGCAGCGCCTTTCCAACGCAACCAAACGTCACCAAATTCGGTTCTGGGCCAGCCAGCAGAGCGTGCTCCAAAAGGCTTAGGCATGATTCCCATGCTTCACCCTCCGCGCAGGCGTTCAAAATCGCATTGCATTCGACGAGCCTATGGCCAGAATGGAGTTTCACCGATGATGTATGCTGCAGGAGTAGCGCGCTGCGCCACTGTGCAGCTGCTCCGCATGATCCAGCAACAGAGACCAGGCCAAAGCTGTCGACATGCGGCAGCATGTGCAAGGACTTGGCCCATTCGCCAGCGGGTTTGCAGGCGGCAGCCATCGTGTTGACAGACACAACGTCTGGCTGAATCATCGCCAAATGCATGTCGGACATCAACAATGCTGCTAAAGTCCAGGAGGAACTGATGGCGTACGCATTCAGGATGGCATTGTAGCTAAACACATTGGGTAAACAGATGTCAGACTGCGACCACCCAAGAATACATACGGAACGCATCCAGGAACTGGCCTTCGCCGAAGCTGTGAGCACCGTGCTCAATCCAACAGCGTCTTTTTCGGCTGCAGCCACCTGCAGCCTGATGGGGATCCAACACGAAAGCAGTTGAAAGACTGTTTGTCAACTGATCTTAGTCGTGGAGTCCTCTCTACTGAAAATCGGAATTGCAATCGACTCTGGCATGTATTGCCACGAAAGTGATTGGCATGAAGCTCCTCAAGCAACCCACGGCGGTGCCTGGTGAACAAGGACGCGGCTTGTCGCCACAGCCCTCCCCTTTCGAATACTCGAAGGACACCGTTGAAAAAGACGGTGTCGGGAATCAGTCTCAGCACGCCGCCGTCCAAGCAAAACGCATCCGAGCTCAGTGCAAATCGTTGGAGAAAAGCCACAGCTCGATGCCAATTTGCTGTCGTGCACGAAGTGAGATACAAGGTTGTCGTTAGCAAATCTGGCTGCAATGCCAGGTTGTTCATGCAAGCAGAGAGAAGCAGCAGAACTTCGCGCCATCTGCGTGCCTTGGCACATCCAGTGATGGCCGAATTGATGGTCACAGTGTCCACAAACTGTCTGGTGAAGAAGTTCCGGGTCAATGAATTCAAAGAGTTGGGCCATTGAGGCGACTTGCAGGCCTTATCAACTAGCCGACAAATCACAGAACATGATGCACCAGATACCTACACGATTACAGGTGTCTTTTCAGCGTCTGCCTGCTATGTGGCAAGCACAATGCAGCATATTGAAAGCCAAGAGTCCTGGCAAACAGTACCGGTAGATGCTGGAATGGAATCTGGCATCGCTGCATCTGCTGTACTTTTGCATAGAAGTCAGGTCGCGATGTGCACCCACCACCATGGCTTTAGGCTCAAAGGCTCTGCAATTCGAAACGGAACTTGCTTGCAGCTCGTCGAACAGGTTGGGTTCATTTTTCAACAGATATGGCAATTCCTTCAGGCGTGATTCTCACATTGTGATCGGGATTGGCAATTCGAAAGAAAGCACGTGATCCGAACAAGCGCAAGGAAGGGAAATCGCCGTGTTCTTGCATGGCCCAATTCCCTTGCTCAAAGCTGCCCGACTTCGGTCAGCACCCGATGCCACTCTTTTCGAAACAATACTGTTCACTTTACGTTATTTGGGATCTTCTTCCATGACACTTCCTCCGGAGGACAGGAAACGTTGCACATTCAGCAAGATTGAGTATCCAGCTGCGTCAGTCAAAGAACTTAGCCCTACCGCTGGCACACACCTGCAAAGAGAAATACCAAACACAGTTCGCCCGGGGGCTCTTGGCCAACGGTGTACGAATTCTGCAGCTGTGCGATGGGAACCCGAGCACACTATGGATGAGCAACTTGTGTATTCACTGGATCAATGATGACGTCGAGGTGATGGTAGTGGCTCATGACTGATGGTGCTCAGGCTTCGAGTGCCGTGTTGCTGTTTGGGGCTGTTTTGGCTGTGTGTGTCATCTTCACTAAACCTTAGGATATTCCTAAGGCTTCGGTCTTCGATATTGGTGTGAAGCTTTAGTGTCGTGGTTTCTGCTGCACATGAACTGAAGAAGAAGAAGAAGCTGGTCATCACGTCGATTGACAGCTCTTTGTTCTTGCCTGAAACAGAGCCTTGCACCACGCAGGAAAGAACATCCCGAATCTCAGATTTGAGGGCACTGAACCTCACACGTCCAAAGCAGGTCTACTGCAAGACACTGCCTGCTTAAGCGCGGTTAAGCGAAAGCCAGGTCGTCGAGCTGCATGACCCGTGCTACAATTGATGGTGACGGCAGACATGCGAATGTGAAATCCAAGCCCCTGAATCCGAACCCCTTGTGTCCGCAGGCCTCAAGCCTGGAACTCGACCAATTGATCCAACTTGGGAAGCTGAAGGCTTGGACGAAGGGCAGCTGGAAATGGTTTAGAATCCTACTTGCGAGAATCCAAACAAATCGGAACGTATGGTGTGGTATCCTGTTGCACTATCATATCAAATGATAAGAGTTAACCTGTTTACAGGGTTTAGGTCGATCATTGATGCTTTGAACTGGGACCCGGCCTTGACGCCGAGGCTGACCAAACACCCGAGCAGCATCAACATGATGAGCAGGAAACAACAACAGCAACGACGCACCTCAGTTTCGAACGCAAGTGGGCGACCTTGTCTTGAGGATGTTTCAAGTTTTCCAATTGTGATGGAACGTGATTGCCGTATATGTCGTAAAGACTATCTCATTCGATTAATCGCATCTCACGAATTATCATAAGAATCATACGGTAAAAACATTCGGGATCATATCGTATGAAACATCATACTACATGCAATCACTCCCAAAGTCGCGCTCCTTCTATTTTATTCCTTCGGGTTTATTTGCAAACATCAATCAAATATATATTTGTAAAAAGATAAAAGAAATCGGCACGATAGATAGCCGTCGAAT